GCGGCATGTGCCAGTCATGTGCCAGGCCTGTGCCTCTCGCCAGAGACATCCTCGCAACTCTGACCTCAGCGATCTCTTGCCCCATGGTGGTCAGGCCACTTTCGCCTGAGACATCCTCACAACTTAGACCTCGGAGGTGTCCTGCCCCATGGTCGTCTGGTCACCTTGACCAGCGAAATCCTCGCCACTCTGGTTTCCAAGATGCCCTGCCCCATGGTGATCCGGCCACGCTTGCCTGAGACATCCTCGGAACTCTGGGTTGCGAAATGCCCCGAGCTCAGGTGGTCAGGCCACTATCGCCTGCGACATCTCTGCGGCATGTGCGGGCATGTGCGTCTATGCTTTCAGAGTTTTGCTTGACCGTGCATTCGACTGTGCGTCGGACGGTGTGGCATGTGCGCGCATGTGCGGCAATGCTGTTGAGGCTTTTGTATATTTGCATGGGCATGTGCATGCGACTGTGCGGCATGTGCCTGCATGTGCGGCCCTTTCCGGACCACAATTTCAAAGTGAGCACTATAGAAGTGAGCGCTATAGAAGTGAGTCCGGTGTATGAGGAGCCGGGAGTGGAGGATGTGTTGATCGATGTCCAGAACTTCAACTCTGGCGGCGTGCATCGCCACATGGATGAATGCGACAGGAGGTATATTCACATCCCTTGCCATCAAGCACGCACATTGTGCTGCAAGTTTGGTCTCACCGAGTATTGTTGTGTAAGCGAGATGTGCAGCCCGTGCTAGTTCAGTTGTCCTCCTCTCTGCCCCGCTCGGTTTAACGTCCTGCCCGTTAGTCTGATAACCTCTTATGTAGCCAGATCCATACGGATTTGTGTTTTATCGAGGGTCTTTCGCGGCAGCTTGTATGTATCTTTCAATTCAGGCTTCTCCAACGTTGCCACGCAGAGGAAGGCAATGTCGCCTTCCGAGACAAGATTGCATCCGCGTCTTCCCTCCTCGTCTTCTTCGCCATCCTCCTCGTCCTCCCTCTCCTCCTGCACCTCCCTCCCCCTTTTCCTCGTCCCTCCCCCGCCTCCTCGCTTGCTCGCCCCCTCACTGGAGAGGGAGGGGGCAGAAGGGGGTGGAGAGTGAATGGGGGAGGGGGCGAAGGGAGGCAGGGGAGGGGCCAGGAGGAAAGGGGTGATGATGGGTGGATCGGGGAGAGGAGGGGAGGGGCGGGCAGGCGATGGGAGGAGAGGGCAGGACGCGAAGTGTGGATCTTGTCCACCACCATCCCCGATAGGGGTTGCCGGCCCTCGACCAACAAGGCTCCGAGAGGGGCCGGAGAGTGTTGTTTTGAGGGGCCCTCAAAACGAACACTCCCAAGCCCGTCTTGGGGCCCTCTTGGAGCCGTCTTGGGCCCATCTTGGGCCCATCTTGTGGCCCTCTGGGGGCCCTCAACGTCTTGCGGCCTTCCAGGGTCCTCGGACTATTCCAGAACGGCCTGCGAGGGCTCCCAGAGGGCCCTAAGAGGGCCCCAAGAAGGCTCCGAGAGGGGCCTGGGAGCGTTTGTTTTGAGGGCCCCTCAAAACGAACACTCCCAAGCCCGTCTTGGGGCACTCTTGGAGCCGTCTTGGGCCCTTCTTAGGGCCCTTTTGGGGCCCTCAAGGGTGTCCAGGACTCTTCCAGAACTGCTTGGGAGAGCTCCAATCGGCCCCCGAAAAGGCTCACAGAGGTGCCGGAAAGTGTTGTTTTGAGAAAGCTCAAACCGAACACTCCCAAACACGTCTTGGGGCCCTCTTGGAGCCGTCTTGGGCCCATCTTGGGGCTCTCTGGGGGCCCTCAAGGGCGTCCTTGTGGTCCTCCCAGGGCACTCGGACCCTTCAGAACGGTTTGAGAGGGCTCCAAGAGGGCCCTGACAGGGCCCCAAGAAGGCTCCGAGAGGGGCCTGGGAGCGTTCGTTTTGAGGGCCCCTCAAACCGAACACTCCCAAGCCCGTCTTGGGGCCCTCTTGGAGCCGTCTTGGGTCCATCTTTGGGCCCTCTGGGGGCCTTCATGTTGTCTTGTGGCCTTCCCAGGGTCCTTGGACTCTTCCAGATCGGCCTGGAACGGCGGCTTCCCAAAGCCCGCGGGTGGCGTCGGGCTCTATGGCCTTGTTGGCAGCTTCCCTGCAGCGCGGGACTGGTGGCCCGTCGGTTTCGTCACGCCATTTGCAGCGCGCGCCGCGTGGTAGGGATTGGCCGCCAGTGGCCGGACTTCGAGTTTGGGGGCCTCCGAGGTGGCTACAACCCCGGCCACAACCCCTGCCACAACCCTTGCCACGACCCGTCCCCGAGCCATGCATGTTGGCACTTTTGGTCCTCTTGTTCGGGTCGTTCTGGGTGTAGGCTCTTCGCTGGGAGAGGGGGTTACGGGCCAGGATCCGAGGACCCAAGCACGTCTGAGGTGAAGGTTAGCTCCAATCCGGAAGGGGAGACACGTGGCACCCACTGACATGTGTAACAAGAGTACAACGCATGTGTACATGTGCACAGCATGGCAATCCAGACGTAAACCAGTACAAATTGGTGTAAGCCAGTGTAAACCAGGGGTAAACCAGCGTAGACCGAGTGTAAGCCAGTGTTAAACGGGTGCAAGCCAGTGTAAAGCGGGTGTAAACCAGTGTAAACCAAGAATAAAACAGTATACACCGTTGTAAACCAGTGCGGACTCTGTGTAAGCCAATGTAAACCGGATGCAAACTGGTGCAAGCCGGGTGTAAACCAGTGTAAATCGGGTGCACACCAGTGTAAGCCAGGTGTAAACCAGTGTCAACCACATGTAAAAGACGTGCAAGACAATGTTCAAACCGCTGCACAGCATGCGGAACACAGCTGTGACACTCCTGAGGCATCACAGAGCCACTGAATTCAAATGTGGAGCAGGCCCCCGCTCCCAAATCTACCCTTTAAAGCTCACCTGCTTGTAGCCTGATGCCTTCAAACTGTCCTTTCAAGCTCGCAGCCTAGAGCAAGCCCGAGCCTGTTGGCAACCTACTTATTTCAAGCACTGTCCTCTCAAGCTCGCAGCCTAAAGCGAGCCCGAGCCTGCTGGCGACCTAAAGCTTTCAACAGCTGTTCTATCAAGCTCGCCTGCTGGCGACTTAACGCCTTCAAAACTGTCCTGTCAAGCTCGCCGGCTCGGGGCCCTCCTGGGCCTTGTTTGGGCCCCTCCTGGGGCTTTGCTGGGGGTTCTAGTGTCTCAGGGCCTCAGGCTATTAGTATCTCAGGGTTTCAGGGTCTTAGTGTGTCGGGGCCTTCTGGTCGTTGGGCATTTGGGTCTCAGGGTTCAAAGGTCTCAGGGTGTCAGGGTGTCAGGGTCCCAGTGTCTGATGGTATCAGGGTCCGAGGGCCAGAGGGTCTTAGGGTCTTAGGGTCTCAGGGTGCCACGGCTGGCGTCGACCTCTGAAGGTACCCGGAGATCCACTCCGAGGCGAAATCCTTTGTTGGATTGGGCCCTGTCGCTCGAACCACTTGCCCTGCGACCCATGCCAAGAAGTAGGTGGCCACATTGGAAGTGCAAATGGCAAATTGCAAGGACGCGCGCAAGCAAACAATTTCACATCGAATGGGCGCATCAGAAATCCATTAACCCAAGCGCCAACTGACGCGACCCCAGCGACGCGCGATGGGCAAGGGGAAGCGAGCCTCGCGGAGGGAGCCCCGGCGAAGAGGGGCGAGGAAAACGAGGAGGAGGCGCAGAACAGGCAAGCCAAGTTACTCGGCAGGAGTCGTCTCGGCATTTGTTAGTTGAGGCTGTGGTTGGGTCTTGGAGAGATCCTTCCCCTCCTACTATGCCTCTGTTCCAGCAGCCTGGTTAGCTTTTGCCTGGTTCGCTTTTTGCATTCCGCGGGCTGGAACTCCAGCTTCTTGGGAAAGAGGCGTCGCGCGATACAGGGCCTCGGTTGTGTGGCGCGCGGTGCTGGCTACCGGAGTGGATTCTGGTTCGCGACAGCGTTTCGCGTCCAAGAACTCTCAGGCTTCTCTCTCTATCTCTCTTCGTCGTCGTCGGCTTTGTTGCCGTGGGAGGAAAAGGCTTCGTTGCCGTTGCTGTGGGTTCATGCGTCGATGGCGCGCTGGTGACGCCGGCGAAGGCGTTCAAGGTTGAATTCCGCAAATCGAAATACACTGATCAGCTCGAGCCGCGTTATCGATTCAATTGTGTGTTTTCCTGCCTTGAGCGGCGCATGGGATGAGCAGGGCTCGTGCCTCGCCTTCTGGAGAGCGGACACGGTCCGCGCTGGACTTCTATGACCCCCCCAGCGGCGCGCCTGGCGCCGCCCTTGGCGCAGATCCATGCTGCGTTTCTCCCCATAGTTTTGGTCCAAAGTGCCCTAATTTTCGGCGGTGCGTCTTGGGGGGAAGTTGAGGAGAAGGCCTTATTTTCAAGGCGGCGGGACTTCTGAGGAACCCGCGCACCCTCGCAGAAATGCTCTGCGTCTTCGGGGAAAGCTTCTCCTGCCGATCCCAGAAATCCGCACGGAGCTCCGACAGTTGTAGTGTGGGCCAATGCCAAGGAACACCCTGCTCAACTCCAGCGTGCCCTGGGTTTCCGGGGTTTCGATGGTCTTGCGGTGGAGGGCGTGGTGCTCCCACGCCAAACATCGATGGGCGTCTTGGGGTCTTTTGGGCGGTTTCTTGTGGACTGGCTTCCACTGCGCTGCTTCTACAGGTTTTTTCCCTTCGAGGTTCTTTCGCGCAGTGGGGGTCTTGCCTTCGGCCCGCGGCGCGCGCGGTCGCAGCGGCGCCCGGGCGCGCGCTGCTGCGGCGGGCCCCCTCTCCCCACCGAGTGCTCCACGTGTATGTCTCGGGGGCCTTCCTCTGCTCGACTCCTGGTTCGAATCTACCTCGGACTCAAGCTCGACGGACGTTCCGACGCAACATCGACGCAGTGAGTGAATCGACTGGCTCTGAGAAGTGCCTGGAGCGACCGTCTCGAAGAGTGCCATCAGGCTTGTTGTGGTTGAGTTTGCTGTTGTTGCTGTTGCTGTTGCTGTTGCTGTTATGGTTGTTGCTACGCCGTGAGGCTGCTCAGAGAGTACGGGGAAGCCAAGAACCTCTGCACAGCGGACTCGAAGATGAAGACCTTCGACGGCGACTGGGATCGTGGTCAAGTGGTTTTTCGCCGCAACGGGAGCGAGAGGCCGATCAGGATCCTGCAGCGCTCGCGCGCCACGGATCTGATGGAGATCTGCACCGAGCCGCTTGCCAAGTCGCTGCTGGACCAGGAGCTTGCAGAGTTCAAACTCCCTGAGCGGCTCGGGGAGATCAATGACCCTCCCAGGCCCCAGTGATTCAAGTCGAGGGGCCGCCGCTTCGCCAGGGGCGTCAGGGACCTTGCCTTTCTGGGGTGGAATGTAAGAGGCGTCCGTGGATCCAGGAGGCGGCAAGAGCTCTTCGACGATATGCGCGCAGAAATTGATGCCCGTGTTATCGTTTTCCAAGAGTGGTGCGTGGCTGGTGGAGCGGAGCAGCTCTTCGATGGCTATGTCGTTCACGTGTCGCCTCCAGCGGGGGCCTGGCAAAGATGCGCGATCGCGGTCCGCGAGTCTTTGGTCCCTTCCACCGTGAGCCCGCCGAGCTTCCACACTCGCACCATGTCCCTGGACTTGCAGTTGCCTGTCTGGGGGCGCGTTCGTTTGATTACACGCCACCAGCTTTCGCGCATTGTTCCCTGTGAGCGCGCTGAGACCATCGCGCAGCTCAGGGAGTGTCTGATTACGATGCCTATTGATTGCCACGCCATGGCCAGCGTTGGCGCCCAGTATGGCCTGGGGATTGGGGACGGAGAGACGGTGGGCCAATACTCGGCCACCAAGATGACATGGCGGGGCGAAATGCTATTCGATTTGATGACTGAATTCGACTTGGTTGCCACCCACACTTTCCCCCGAGGACAGTGGGGACAAGCCGCGTGCTACTGCGACAACCGTAAGGGCCCAGGCCAGATCGACTTCATGCTGTGCCACCGCGACTGGCTCACGTCAGTGACGTGCCAGGCAGGCTCGCTTCACGGATGCAGAGCTGAGCGACCATCTTCCCTTGCTGCTGCGCCGCCACACGTCCAAGGCTATCCCGACGATCTCCGAGCCCGAACAAGCCCTCGAGGACGCAAATCTGATGGGGCGGCCGCCGCGCAAGCCTGTCGCTTGGCAGCTGGAGGACGCCGACCTATTCAATGAGACGGTCTGCTCGACGTTGCAGGTGCCGTACTTCCCGACCGCGATGGACCTCACCGAGGGCGACCTCGGGCATCTTCACGGGCGGCTCGGCGCGGGGGCGACGATGTGGGAAGCGCCGGGCCTCTTGCGCAGGATGGGGCTTTGCCGTCTACCGCGCCACCACGCCGCGCGACCAGGGTGAGCCGATGGTCGAGGCGTGCGGCCTCGTGGCCACCCACCCTCAGGACCCTCGCTACTTGGGCGCCTGTGCTCTCACGGCGAACACGGGGGGGCCCTCGGCGATCGTGGAGGCGCTCCTGTGGCTGCTGGGACAGCGCGGCTCCCGGAGCCGACGGCCCAAGGTGGCAGGCTCATCCAGGTGATTGCCGACTCGACGTGCGTCCAGGGACTCCTCACTGAAGTCTTCCAGCCGCGTGAGAATGCACACTTGGCGATTCTGGCCGTGCACCTGTGGAAGAGGGCTGCCGTGAACTTCGACTTGCACATGCGCTTGATCAAGGGACACAGCGGCAACATAGGCAATGAGAAGGCGGACTTCTGGGCGAAACGGGGGGCGGACAGGCGTTTCAACACTGCTCATTGGAGACGGCCATGCCCTGCTCACGACTGGGGAGCGGAAGAGCATCGACAACGAGTGAGCGAACGCAAGCTCGCCGAGACCAGAGCCCGCAAAAGACGTTGCTCGGATATTTCCAGGGAGGATGGCGGCGACACCTTCGCGCAGCTCTTCTACCCGCAGCCGCGGCTTGCCGCCGCGTGCTCCAGACAGGGCACCCCGTCCGTCTCCGCGCTGGCGACGGCGATCTCCGCTGGCGCGGCTGTGGCGGGCCGCGCCCCTCGAGGTGGGCGCTGGGGGCCTCCGCAGGGCGACCCCGAGCTTCTCCACTTGAAGCCCCTGGAGCAGCTGCGCGCACAGGAGACGGACTTGCGCGTGCGGCACCTGCTGGGGCCCGCAGTGGCCAAGGCCAAGCGCGCCCTGAGGGGCCGCTGCAACACTGTCCACCCTGGGCGCTCGTGCGCGAGGGGGCGGGCCGACAGACCCCGCCGCTCGGGCAAGCCCGTCTGCGAGCTGAAGACGGACGACGGCCAGTGCGCCAGCGCCGTGCAGGCCCGCTGCGAGCTGACCCGCGCCTTCTACGCCGACTTGTTTGCCGACCCGACCAGCGACCAGGCTCTGCCCGCCTGGGTGCGTAGCCAGTGGGCCGCCGAGCACCGACAGGCGGAGGTCCCTCTCCCACTTCCTGTTCTCAAAACAGTCACCGGGCAATTGGAGAGTAGCAAATCGCGCGCCGAGTCTGACATGATCGTGGCTGAGATGGCCCAGGAGCTCCAGGACGATGCTCTCGAAAAGATCCTCGCGGCGTTTCGCCTGAAACTCTGCAATCCTGTGAGTGAGTATTTCGACCAGGCCTGGACGGAGCACGTCGTTCAGCTGATCCGCGAGAAACCTGAGGCCCAGAAGGTGGCCGAGTTCAGGCCCATTGCCCTGGTTTCGGTGCTGCTGAAAATCCTGTCGATGATGGGCCTGGAGGTCCAGCGGCCTATCCTGGAGACCGATCGTTCTGAGTGCCAGTTTGCGTTCCGTCGTAGCTATCAGGCGCGCGAGATTGTATATGGCCTCCGCCATCTAGTTGAACAGTTATGTGAATATCGAGACCCACCACTCGTCGTCGTTGGGGGTGGTATCCGTAAGTTTTATGACTATATCCGACATCCCCTCCTGGCACAGCGCCTTGGCGAGCATGGAGCGTTCCGCGTCGCTAGCAGTTTCTGGAAAAGAGAGACCCGCAACTCTGCCGCTCGCATCAGAACGCTTGGCAATCCTCTCACCAAACGGGTCCGTCGGGAGAGGGGCCTGACACAGGGGGGGGGGCGCGGCGCCTGAGCTGGGCAATGTTTTCCTGGGCGCGGACCTCCGGACATTTCAGCACCTCTGCCGCAAGAACGGGCGGGGGCTCTGTCTCACGTTGCCAGTGGGGGGGGGGGGGGGGGGGGGGGAATATTTGAACTTAGGTATTTTAAGCTTGGCCGACAATTTCTTGATTTTAGCTCGATCGGCCTCGATGGCCGCAGTGATGACCGAGCCCTGGCCCTGGATGTTATACAAAAGTGGCCTGAAGGTTCCAGTAAGTAAGATGGAGTGGTGCCACACGTATCTCACTTATATCGTCACGCTTCGCGTGAGAGGCACCTTGATCCCCTACCGCGAAAGGGCGGGTGGCCTCAAGGTTTTAGGGACGCACGTAGTTTTTGATCGGAGCTGCACGGCGGAGGTCGGCAACAGGGTCCAACGCGCGTGGCGCACGTGGGCTGTGCGCAAGAATATGCCCGCCAACCCCAACATCCGCCTCAGTAAGCGAGTTCAAGCCCTTGGTCGCTGTGTCCGCCCCGCCCTCGCTTACTGTGTCGGGGGCCTGCGCCTGTCGGTCTCAGGGCTTAGCCGCCTTTCCAAATTCATAATGCCATGCTGAGGCGAATAGTTCGCCCGCCCCCATCAGACACTGCAGATGCATATATGAAGAATGCCATGTCACAAGTAGCCGCCATCCGCACTAGACATGATATCGAGCCGTGGCCGCAAACTTGTAGACGCCTGTCCCGCGTTTGGGCAGGACACCTCCAGGGGATGGCACAGTCCAGCCCCGATCGCATAGCTTACCGCGTCCATAGGTATCGGGATAGGTCCTGGATGACGTCAATGCAACGTTCCTCGGGCTCCCAGTTGCACCGCCGTACCGTGGGAATATGGCGCTGGGAGAGAGATTTCTATAACTAGTTTGGCTTCGACTTGCTCGCCAAACCATACTCTACGCAGTCATGGGCTGATGGACAGCGTGCTTGGCTTGAACAGCGCCAAACTTTGAGATAACCCAGGCTGCCCTCTAGCAAGTAGATCAGCTCAGCAGCGTCGGGGCCAGGAGCCGCCATTGCAAGACGCCTACGAAGCGAAGCGCAACGAAACGAAATCGTCATCATCATCGTCATCATCATCATCACCATCATCATCATCATTATCATCATCATTATCACCGTCATCAACATCACCATCATCATCATCATAATCATCACTATCATCGTCATTATCATCAATATCACCATCATCATTATCTTCATTACCACCACCATCGCCGTGACCATCACCATCATCATCACCATCATCGCCATCAGCTTCGGGACATCCCTCACGCGTCTCGCGGCTCCATGGGGGGCTCCACCGAAGACCCCAGTGGTGGTGTTCACATGCGTTCGCGCCACCATTTTCTTCACACCCTTCACACATTTCGTGGCCACATAGGGAGCTCCACCGAAGGCCCTAGTGGTGGTGTCCACATGCGCCCGCGCCACTCACGTCGGTACACCCCCCACACGCTTCGTGACCCCATATGGAGCTCCACCGAAGGCCTTACTGGCGGTGTCCACATGCGTCCGCCACCCATGTCGGCACACCCCTCACACGGTTCATGGGCCCATAGGGAGCTCCACCGAAGGCCTGTGTGTGTGTGTGTCCACATGCGCCCGCGCAACCCTTTTCGACACACCCCTCACACGCTTCGTGGCCCCATAGGGAGCTCCACCGAAGGCCTCAGTGGGTGTGTCCACATGCGCCCGCGCCACCCATTTCGGCACACCCTTCACACGTTTTGTGGCCCCATAGGGAGCCCCACCGAGGGCACCAGTGGCGGTGTCCACATGCGCCCGCGCCACCCATGTCGGCACACACCTGACACGGTTCGTGGCCTCATAGGGATTGTCACCGAAGCAGACATTTACAATTGCGGTGCTCACAACTGCATGTGGTTGGGCCTTTCGCCAGGATAATTGCTTTCACGGGCTTGCGCCTTGACTGCCCGTCTTGGGCAACTTGCCTGGGGCCTCGCTTGGGCAGTGCTGCAAGTATTTCGAGCGGCGGTCCGATCTCACAGACCGCCACAGAAACGCGTCGGAATTGCACGCGCCACTTTTCAAAACCATTATTTTCCCCAACCCTCTTGCGTTGAGTATTCGCCTTGCAAAGAGCACTGCGGTCGCACACCTTCCTTCCTTCCGCCCCGCCCCGCCCCTTCTCCCCTTGTCTCCAGCCTCTGACTTTTCTCCCTCCTGCGTGCCAGCTTGCCACCTACCTGGCCATCCCTGGGGGGCTGCCATCTGCGAAACGGTCGCCACTTTCGAGGGCTGCTTGGGGGTCCAGCGGGGCGACGCCTTACCCATTTTCAAAATAAGACCTCGTCAGCTCTGTGGGGCTGCGATCTGCGAAATATGTCGCCACCTGCACACATGCAGATTTGACCTCGCCAGGCTGCGATCTGCGAAGCTGTCGCCACTTGTCAGGGCTGCTGGGGGGTCCAGCAGAGTGACGTCTTACCCATATTCAATTTTGACATCGCCATCCTTGAAGGGCTGCGATGTGCGAAACCGTCGCCACTTTCGAGGGCTGCCTGGGGGGGTCCAGCGGAGTGACGTCTTACCCAGACTCAAACTAGACCTCGCCACCCCTGGATGGCTACGGTCTGCGAAACTGTAGCCACTTTCGAGGGCTGCTGGGCAGTCCAGCGGAGTGCTGTCTTGCCCAGATTCAGATGAGACTTCGCCATCCTCGGGGGGCTGCCACCTGCGACATCTGTCGCCACGTTCGAGGGCTGCTGAGGGGTCCAGCGGAGTGACGTCTTACCCAGATTCAGAGTTGACATTGCCATCCTTGGGGGGCTGCGATCTGCAAAATAGATTGCCACGTTCGAGGGCTGCTGCAGGGTCCAGCGGAGTGACGTCTTACACATATTCAGATTTGACCTCGCCATCCGGGGGGGGGCTGCGACTTGCGAAGTTGTCACCACTGTCGAGGGCTGCTGGGGGGTCGAGATGAGTGACGTCTTAACCAGACTCAGATGAGACCTCGCCATCCCTGGGGGGCTGCGATCTGCGAAACCGTCGCCACTTTCGATGGCTGCTGGGGGGTCCAGCGGAGTGACGTCTTACACAGATTCAGATGTGACCTCGGCATCCCTAGGGGGCTGCGATGTGCGACATCTGTCGCCACTTTGGAAGGCTCCTGGGGGGTCCAGCGGAGCGACGCCTTACTCAGACTCAAATTTGATCTCGCCAGCCCGGTGGGGCTGCGACCTGCGGAACGGTTGCCCATTTTCGAGGGTTGGGGTCCAGCATAGTGACGCACTGCGCAGACTCACATTCGACATCATTATTAGGGGGCTGCGACCTGCGAAAATGTCGCCTTTTTCGAGGGCTGTTGGGTGGTCCAGCGGGGCGCTGTCGCGGGCCGCCCGCGGACCTGGCGGCGCGCCTTCGAGTGTTTACCTCCCGCGCTGAAAAGTGCAGGAAGCAGGGAAGCTGGCGGGCGAGCGAGGCTTCGCTCGCTGCTTGCACTCACTACAAGCCGGTTTACTCATTTTGTCGAGCGCCGCGGCGACATGGCGCAGGCAGCGCTGCTTTTTTAGCGCACTACCGACAGCAACAGCACTCTTCGGTCTCCTCCCGTCACTTTCGTCGTCGTCCTCTGCCCCCTGCCACCGTCCCTCTGCTGCTGCTGCTACGCTGACGGTTAGGCCCCCCGCGCGTCCTTTTCCTGCCTTTCGTTCCCGCCCCCATGCGATTCTCAAACCTGAGCCTTCGCACCTCGTCCTTCTGTGGTTGTTCCGTGAGTCGTGCCGCGTGAGCGCATCCCCTGTGGCTTGCACAGGATATAACGGCGCCTGCGTTGTCATTGTCCGGGCAAATTTGAGCCAATTCTTTTTGTCACTTGATGCAACTGAGTTGGGTACGTCACAGGGTAATTCTAAGCCGTCGTATGGTGCGCTTTTCTGCGTTTTCGAATATTTTCGCGGCACCATATTGCGTTCCACCCAAGGCAGGCATTCACGCTCGCACAGCCCATTTGGGTGTGGTGTACAACCCCCTACCACTAATTCTAGTGCCACTGATACTTCCATCAGTGGAATGCACAGAGGCACCAGTAACCAAACCACGACCAACCGCTGCGACGAGCGGGCCCACTTCGGCACACCCGTCACACGACTCGTGCTTCATTTAAACCCCCCAGTTGCTGCGGCCACATGCGCCCACCGCGGCGAATTTTGGCACGCCCCGCACACGCTTCGCGTCCTGCAGTGCGCAGTGGTTGCGGCCACATGCGTCCCCGCCGCACGCTGCTAGGCGGGCCGATGTGACGATGGCAGCGGTCGCGATGATGACACATGCTTGGGGGGGAGAGCACCGCGGGAGGAGCTGATGCAATAATCGTAAAATTTTAAGGGTGTGCCAAGGGGAACCTAAATTGCAGGATCGGGAACCGATATACAGAGCACTGCGGGGATGTATTAAAGTTCAGGCTGACCAGACATCTTGCAACCATCCCATTCTAGTTTACACAAGCGCACCGTGCCCAAACAATCATACGAGGGACATTTATACATCAACACATATGGGTCGACATGATCAATATGTTGTTTTTGTGTCAACATAATTATGTTTTCGGTGCACCATGCCGTTTTTACGTTAAGCATTATTTCACACACGTGGTTGCACACGCATTGTTTATATGTATCAATACGATGTCAGTAACTGGTTTCGAAGCAACATAGTTTT